CTTCCTTCCTTCCTTCCTTCCTTCCTTCCTTCCTTCCTTCCTTCCTTTCTCTGTGTGTAGGAGCATATGTGTACATGTATGGTGTGTCTGTGAAAGACAGAGGACAACCTCCATGTGTTAATTCTCTTCTTTCCACTGTGATCTCCTGGGATGGAATGCAGGATGTCAGGCTTAATTAATCTTGGCTACTTCCAGTTCTTAGCAATTAAGTATGAAACTACTGGAACTGGGGAAATGGTTCCATACGTAAAAGTGTTTGCCATGTAAGCATGAGGACCTGACTTCAAAACCTAAAAACGTATGTTTGACAAAAATAAAAGAAGACAATATAGTAAACTGGGTCCACAATCCCCATACTGCATGGAGAAAAAGGTGGGCAGATACAAGAGCCTCCCCAGAAGCCCACAAGCTAAACCAGCTACCTGGTGTACAAAGAGGTAAACAATAGGAGAGAAGCCCTGCCTCAAACAAAGTGGAAGGTGATACCTGACACCAAGTTGTCCCCTGACCTCCATATACATGCCATAGCATGCCATGGCATACACATCTTACATATCCTACATACACGTTTTTTGTTTTTTTTAAAGCCTCTATCTTTGATTTTTGTGTGGACCCAAGTTAGGTGAGTAAGTAAGCAGAGATGCAATTGTTGTCACCTACGACTGTTTAGATTTAAAAGTGGCTGTCCCTTTCGTTCTACGTGTGCACTGGCCATGAGTGACAGCAGCCACTCCACAACCCTGCCGGTGCTTCTGTTGTCAGTTTCAAAAACGTTTCATTGAATGGGTGTTCAGTGGTGGTCCTTGTGGATTTAACTCACAGTGACACACTCCTCATCTGTCTGTCTTCTTGGGTGAAGTATGTATTATTCTATTGATAGGCTTTTGATTCTTTTGGTTTATTGCTGTTTTTTATATGTGTTGTTTTCTGTTGTCTGGTTTTAGGATTTCTTTGTGTCTTTTAGATCCAAGACTTTCAGCGAGTGGGTTTTTAGAAGCATTTTCTCCCCAGCTCTGACGTATCTTTCCATTTCTCTCTCCTTTCTCTGCCGTCTCTCCTCTCTTCTCGCTCAATCTCTTTTCCTGCCTTATTCTCAGCACACTCTCCTCTCCTCTCTCAACTCTCGCTCTTCCATTTCCCCCTTGTCTGCCTCTCCATTTTCTTCTGTCTCTTCTTCACTGTGTAGCCCAAGCTGGTCTTGGCCTGACAATCCTCTTGCCTCCACTTCTGAATTTTAGGGTTAGAAACATGTATCATTGCACCTGACCCGCATGAATCATCAGGCCATATTCTGGTGCCACTGAGTAACAGGGACAACAAGACCGGAAAGCAGCCAGCTCTGTGTTGGTCATGTGGCATGGGAGGCTAGGGCCCACGTGGAGGTCTCTCTCATAATATGGCCTCTGAAGAACTGGAGATAGGGTATGAGGAAGCCGGCTAGTGTACATGAGCTTTGGGAATGGTGACACCATAGTAGCTACGGGCAGTGTGTGGCCAGAGGCAGGGCTGATTCAAGATGGGCACCTGCCCCCATCCTTGGTCCCCCGACTACTTCCAAATCATCTTCCTAGGGATCCGGTTCTAACACAGGTGGTAGCACCTCAAGTCTCACACACTTTCCTCTTCTTTGCAGACACACTCTCTCCAGCTTCCAGCCCCTCCTCAGTCAGTTGCCCTGTGATCCCCACCAACACGGATGAATCCCCAGGCAGTGCACTGAACATTGAGTGTCGGATATGTGGGGACAAGGCCTCAGGCTACCACTACGGAGTCCATGCGTGTGAAGGCTGCAAGGTACAGAGGCCCCGGGTGGAGGGTGTGTTAGCCACATGAGTCCATGACTTTGCTCCTCTGCAAGATGCCCACCACTCTGAAACCTACAGAAAGGGCAGAGAATTGGCCTCATTGGCAGGCTGGCTACTCTTTGGAGAATCTAGGGCAGGTTGCTTTGCTGTACTCTGTAAATACTCTAGAGAGATGCATCCTTCAAAACAAAACAACAACAACAACAAAAAAAAACAAAAACAAAAACAGGGAAACCAAACACGGTTGTTTTAAAAATGTCTCCTCCCACGACACAAAGTGTAGGTTCCGTACTTTATCTCGGGACCACCTCAGAAGCCAGTTAGAGCAGAGGTGACTATGCAGTGGGGTGTGTTTACCTACAGCCTCATGACCTCTCCAGGGGCCAGCTAGGGCAGAGGTTACCATGCATTGAGCAAGGGGCTGGCCATCAGACGTGTCCTGCCCCTTGCTCAGAGTCCACAGTCTCTAGCTATTGAAACTGACCCCCACTGGTCGCTTCTGGCACATACTCCCATCCTTCTAGCCCTTCCAGCCACCTGCACCCTCCTGAGTATCTCTATCCTCTCATGAGTCAACTTAACCTCCAGACAGTCATGACCCAGGCCCCACATACATGAAGTGAGTCGCCTTCTGCTGCATATACATTCTCAAGTTTGTCACTTCATGAACGCCATATATGGAAAATTGAGAGATGCACGTTTGCTTAAAAGTCACAGGCTCCCTTCCTAGGACCTTCCAGAAGTATCCAGGCTCTGAGGGAATATCACAGACCTTCCTATACGTCATTCGTGAAGCCCTGCCATTTGTCTTCAGGTGGTCCTGGTGCATGGGGACAGTCAGCCCAGATCCAGGGCCTGGTGGCCCCTGGCATTAACAGTCCTTGCTTCTCACCCTTCCTCGCCATCCCACACATCTTTCTTCCATTCTGCCTCACACACCTAGATGAAGAAGCTACTCCTTCCAATCCCCCCATCCCAATAAAGGCCTGATCCCTTCTGTGTGGGCCTAAGAGTCCACCATGTCAGGCAAGTGGAGGGGGCACACAAAAGCAAAGAATCAAAAGCTAAGATAAATTCCTTTCTGAGTTTTCTTTCTGCGTCCCTTTAAAAGCATGACTTGTGACAGGGCTTTCTGTCGAGGTCGTGTCCAATCGCTTTTGCTTAGTCTTGGCTTTTATGGGTTCACACTGCTTTCTTCATGGTGAAGCCTCAATGCTGCAAGAGGGTTGTTTTTCAAATAACTGGTTTCCTCTTGCTATAGTGTCTGCTCTTCGGGATTTGGTATTGTGGCCCAAGAAACTACCATTCCCTCTTCCCCAGTCAGGTAGGGTCTTTCTAAGATGCTTTGAATTCTGCCTTAGAGCATTATTTTCCATCTTCAATGCACTGAGGTGCACATTTTCTGTTTTCCCCAGTTACATGGCTAGAACTTCAACATGTAGTTTCTTTGGAAAAAGACAGCGAGGCTGGGGTGTAGTTCAGCCGGTAGAGTAATTTCCTCGCATTCACGGAGCCCTGGGTTGGAGCCCCAGCACTCCACAAAGCCAGGCATGGTGGTGCTCAGCCAAGTGGTCTCAGCACTTGGGAGGTGGAAGCGTGGAAGCAGGAAGACCAAGAGTTCAAGGTCATCCTTGGCCACAGAGCAAGCTCTTAGCCAGGCTGGGCTATGTGAGATCCTGTCTCAAAACAAACCAGGCAATCAAATGCACAAGAAAGCCGAGTGACACCAGTCTGGTGACTTACCCAGAGCCTATGTTCTTTAAGTCAGTTTTGTGGCGATATCACAGGGCTTCTTTCGGCGAACTATTCGACTAAAGCTGGTGTATGACAAATGTGACCGAAGCTGCAAGATTCAGAAAAAGAACAGGAACAAATGCCAGTACTGCCGCTTCCACAAGTGCCTGTCTGTTGGAATGTCACACAATGGTAGGTAAGGCTGCTGGGCACACCATGTCAGCCCATGACTCAGTTTATTCTCCTATATTTTATGTGGTTGTGCTGTAAACATATAAGTATCTCCAGCAGCTCGTATTTTGCAGAGCACTTGAAAATATTGTGGTAAGACTTTGCTGTCAACTTGGGGGGGTGGGGTGGGGATCACGAGTGGCAAGATGTCTCATCTCTTCTGTTAAATGTGGGTTTATTCAAACATTATACCATACTGTGAGTTTTGTTTTCTCAGCCATAATCTAATTTAGAACATGGTACCCAGTGAATGTAAACAATTGATTGATTGGATTGATTAGTTTTTAGGTTAGGTGCTTTACTACCCATCCCTGGCTGGTATGGAAATCGCTTTATAAACCAGGCTGGCCTTGAACTCACAGAGATGTATCTGCATCTATATCCAAGAAGTACTAGGAACACAGACATAGTAGTACATGCCTATAATCCCAGCACTCAGAAGGCTGAGTAAAGAAGAGTTTGGTAACTTCATGGCCAGCATGGGCTACATAGAAAGACCCTGTCTCAAAAAATACAAAATAGAGCTGGAGATATATCTCAACTGGTAGAGTGCTTTGGCAGGCATGAGCACCATGTAGACCTGGCCTGTAATTTGAGTACTCAAGGGATAGAGGCAAGAATCTCAGGAGTTCAAGGTCATCCTCCATTATATAGTTAGTTGGAAGCCAGGATGAGGCACTATATGAGAGCTGGGAGGGAGGGAGGAAGGGAAAAAGAGAGATAGGCAGATGATTATAAGTACATAGATAGCTATATAGATAGATGATCAATAGGCAGATGATAGGCAGACAGATGATTGATAGACAGTCAGATGATAGACAGTATATAGATGATAGTTTGCTTTCTGTCCCCTTCACTTTGGCTGATGGCCTACCTGAGGACAGTAAACTACCCCACTGATAAGCTCTGTGGTTGACCTTTAGCCTGCCTAAAAGTGGAAAGTTCGGTCATAATAAGGAATAGGTTTAGCTCATCCTTCCTGGTGTGACCTCTGCCTTGGTCATCACATGCCTTGGTCATTTCTTGCATCTCCCCTTGTCCCATCCCACCCCAACTCCAGCAATTCGTTTTGGGCGGATGCCAAGATCAGAGAAAGCAAAACTGAAAGCAGAAATTCTTACATGTGAACATGATCTGGACGATTCGGAGACTGCAGACCTCAAATCTCTGGCCAAGAGAATCCACGAGGCCTACCTGAAGAACTTCAACATGAACAAGGTCAAGGCCCGGGTCATCCTCGCAGGAAAGACCAGCAATAACCCAGTAGGTGTTCCTGCTGCCCTCAGAACCTTGGTGTATCCCTTGGTGATGTCAGCTGGGGTCACAGGGACTGACTGAGAGCATTGTCCAATGTTGGAAAATAGAATTTATCCCAAAGTCCAAGGAAGGCCATGGAAATACACGGCTCATTCTGAGGCTCTAAGATGTAGCTTGACACCAACAGCTGCCTTCCTACCTGGGCTCGCCTCAGCTCCTAGCAACCGAGACATTATAAAGGCTATGTAATTGATACGCCAAAAATAATATAGTTAATTCCTTACCCAGTATCGGGGTGTTTCTTAAGTGTGCTTTAATCCCTATTTTAAGGCCAGAAATGAAACCTATTCCCTCCCTACTCGAATCACTTATTCTTTTGCTAAGCTAAGCCTACCTCCCTTGTCACCTTTTGCTTCTTCTTCTCTCTAATGGCTCAGGTCTCAGGGAGGGGCCTTTGTTGACCGGATGCACCTCCTATATGTCAGCTTGTCCCTGCATCTGCAGCTCCTATAACACTTGCCTGGCTCATGACCCACTGTTCCCACAGGTGGATAAGCCTGTGTACACTGCAGAAGGGTATCAAGAGCCATTTCCACAGAGGGACCAGCCCTCACTTGGCACAGAAGGACTCTTGCCTGGACGACAGGTTTAATTTATGCTAATGAATAGCTTGGAGCCTTCCTCACTGGGAATTACAAGCAAGAATTTTTAGTCACAGGAAAATGGAGGATTTCACAAGCTACATACTTTAATCAACAAACCCCACCTCTCTTTTACTGGGTCTTCTAATTCTTTGGTGAATTCTCCAGTAAGGTGTGCTGAGACATCTTAGAAGGTTCCAGCAAACTCCACACCAAGTGACCCAAGAGGCCCTTTCCAATTAGAACAGTGGTTCTCAACCTTCCTAATGCGGTGACTCCTTAATACAGTTCCTCATGTTGTGGTGACCCCCAACCATAAAATTATTTTGCTGCTACTTCATAACTGTAATTTTGCTGCTGTAATGAATCATAATGTAAATATCTGATATGCAGGATATCTGATATGTGACCCTGAAGGGGGTCCTGACCCACAGTTGAGAACCATTGAATTAGAACCTTTTCTGGCTCACAGGGTAAAGTTTGCATTTCTATCATGATGACCCCAAACAAGGGAAATTAGAATTTTCATTGGAGACCTTCTATTTCTCCCTCAAACTCGAGATTTATAGCAAGAGTTGGCTTTATTCATACCTAAACACTCTGCTGGAATATTGATTTAATCCTTACTGAGGTGCCTCTGCTTTTTTTTAACCAGATTCCACAAGGTTCTTAGGAGGGAGGGTCCCACTGTCCTCCGTCTTGAAGAAATCAAGACTCATGTGGAAATGAATGATAGAGTAATGATCCAGGGCTGGGGGCTGCTACATTACAAAGACAGAATGGGGAAGGGGTTTGGGAGCTGGTTCAGACAGCTCAATGTCTAAGGACCTGATTTTGGATCCCCAGCTCATACATAATAAGCCAGATGTGGTCATGCATTTCTGTAATCCCAGCACCGTGGAGGCAGAGACAAGAGGATGCTGGAGCTTTCTGGACAGTGGGCTTAGCTACATCAGTGAGCTCCAGGTTCAGTGAGTGACCTTGTCTCAAAAAATTAGAGACTGGCTGAGGAAGACCACCAATGCCCACCTCTGGCCACCACCTACACCTTCAATGCACCAGTGCACCGAACAAACATGTGTGCGCGCACACACACACACACACACACACACACACACACATCACATATCACATACAGCACCAAATTAACAACTTATGGCAGCTAACTGCCTGCTTCAGCCACAAATCTCTATGCAGGGACCAGCTTTAGAAGCAATATCCAACTGCTTTTGACCCCTCTGTTGGCCAGAGGTACCTCCTACCCCCAGGTCTCACATCATTTTAGAGGCTGGGCCTTCTCTTCCTGCCCAGCCTGCTGGCCAGCTTCCCAGAACTTGCTGGTCCAGTGTGAGACCCCATCTTTCCTCTTCCATCTATGCCCAATCTGGGACATTTCCAGGTGGCAGAGAGCCTGCCACCAGCTTCGCTACCCTAGCACCTCTGCAGAGCTCTGGTTTTGTTACTGCAGTTGTATTGAGAGACTGTAGGCTGTATATTTTACAAGATTTTAAAAATTATTTTGCATGCATGTGCACGTATGTGCAAGCATGTATGTGTGGACATTTGTGTGTGTATGTGTATGAGTGTGCCTGAATGTGCCTGAGTATGTGTCTGTGTACCACATGTCTGCAGAAGCCTGTGGGAGCCATTGGATTTCCTGGAACTGGAGTTACAGGTGGTTGTGAACCACTGTGTGGGTGCTGCGAACTGAATCCCAGTCTTCAATAGCAACAAGCACTCTTCACCTCTGAGCCGTCTCTTGAACCCCACGTTTTATGACATTTGAAGCTGGGAGTTCCTTTAGGGAGATTAGGCTGTAGCCTTGGTGTACTCAGTTTGACCTGTGTCCAATGGCACAATGCTCAGTGACCATCACGTTCTAGGCTGGGATGAGGCCCCAGCAAGAACCCAGCAGAACATCAGTGAGGCCCAAAAACTACTGCTGGTAGTAGTTTCAGCTGGTAAGCAGTTTAAAGCACATGGATGTGATGCACATGAACTTGTGAGGTGGGGGGATGGGCATTCACACCAACAATGCAGCGCCGTCTTGCTGTCCTGCAGGCCAACTAGGGCAGGCGCAATCATAGACTCCACACACTGTACTGGGAGACAGGAATGCTTGTTCGATGGTATAGCCTAGCAGCCTCTGGTTTGCTGAAAGTTGAGGTCAAGCCCCACTTTGTAAAAGACCCATCTGGAGTTGGTCAGGGCATGGGGACCTGGAGGCTGGATTCCACTAAGGTCAGAAGGCAGCTGTGGGGAAAGGTGAGCTTACCCGAGGGAAAGACTGAGGAGTGCTCACATTCACATGAATGGAGGTGCCCACAGAGGCCAGAAGAGGGCACTGGAGCTGGAGTTTCAGACATTGTCAGCTTCCCAATGTGGTTCTGGGAACTGAATGCAGGTTCTCTGCAAGAACAGAGCTTACTTCTTAACTGCTGAGAATTCTTAATTGTCTTTTAGCAAGGGGCCACCTGTTTATTTTGCCGCACCCCGTGAGCTATGTGTGAGCTGAGGCTGCCCTAGTCCTTGGAGATGCCCTTCAGTAATCACCAAGCCCCCTGGAAGGCACAACTCGCCACAGCCCCCTTCTGGAAGAGCCCAACATTTGCCATGTCAGAGTCTCCGGGAGGTCCCAGCCCTACTCACTGTGTTTTTCTAAATCTTGACTATGTGTTTGCTTGCTTCCCACTTTTCTTTCTGCTGAGTGCATGTTAGGAAAAGACAGTGTTCAGAATGAAGGCGACGCTGCTGTTCCGTTCAGTGTTCTCTTGCTGGGAAGAAACTCCATGACCATGGCAGCTCTTATAAAGGAAAACATTTAACTCTATCCCCAGGGGACCTGAGCTGCTTCTTCCTCCAAGGGCACTGCACACACGTGGTGAAACGATGGACATACGGGTAGCAATACCCATACACATAAAATAATTTCAAAAAATGACTCAGACATTCTATAGGCTAAAAGAGCCAAGCTGCCAGGTATCATACTTACAGATTCATGCTCGAGACCCTTTAAAAAAAAAAATTTTTATTTATTTATTTATTTATTTTATCTGAGTGTGCCATCTGCATGTTCTCCTTTATCCCAGAAGAGGGCATCAGATCTCACTTCAGATGGTTGTGAGTTACATGCAGTCGCTGGAAATTGAACTTAGGACCTCTGTAAGACCAGCCAGTGCTCTTAACCACTGAGCCATCTCTTCAGCCCTCGCCCCTATTTTTAAGCTACCACAGCAGTCACAGAGAATCACACATACATCCTCTCTAAACTCTCAACTCACTCCGGTGCCTTGTAACTCCTGACGGAGTGTGAGCCCTATGGAAATGATCATTACGCTGGAGTGTTTGGGCAAGACAAGAGAAAAAAAGTCTCAGGGCCGAGAGTTCTCTCTGTGGTAGAGAGGCCTTCCCAGCATAAACAATCTCCATAATTACAAATACTCTAAAATCGGTACTCATTCAGTATGGACACTAAATTTTAATTATTAAGAGTTATATTAAATTTAGTATGTGTATGTGGAGGCATGTGTGTGGAGGTCAGAGGACAGCCCAGAGAGTCAGTCTTTGTCTATTGTGTGGGTCCTGGGGATCAAACTCAGGTCTTCAGGTTTGGAAACACACACTTCCACCCACCACGCTATCTCACCTGCCCTAAAAACGTGGACCTACTGTATTTCTGTAGTCCCTTAAACCAGACTTTCACTGCTTGTCTTTTCGGAAGCATAACTGTATCCAAATTAACCACAAGAAGGTGGTTATCAGACCTGTTGTTAGGACCCTTCGAGACACTTTCTTTTTGTCTACCTAGATCTGACTTGAGATATCCAGTGGCTTGGCTCTGAGTTTTGCCCATAGAATGTCCGGGAGTCAATTTTTATTATCTTGTGTGTATGGGTATTTTTGCCTGCACATATATCCGTGCACCACACGTGTGCAATGGCCTTGGAGGGAGAAGGGAAGTTCCAGCCCCCTTGGGACTAGAGTTACAGATTGTCATACATCACCACAAGGGTGCTTGGTGGTACCAGATACTCTGGAAGGCAGGCCATGCACTTTACCTCTGAGCCATCTCTCCAGCCCCAACAGTAAGTCATTTTTAATGCATCTCCTTTCATTAATATAGAATCATTTTTTTTGGTCCAATGCTATATTGCAAGTTCAGGCTCTGCCTAAACACCTCACAGACAATTGCTTCTTTTCCACACATCCTCCTGACTCTGTACCAGGCATATCCCAGGTGCCTTGACTATGCATCTATTCTGTGGTTCCTGAAGATGCTCTTAACAGCCCAGCATAGGGGGAGAGGACCAGGCTCTTCCTAGGTAGCTGGAATGCTTCTGCTCTACAGTTAGATACACTGGATTGAAGCAATCCTGGCCACCTCATGAGTGACCTGTGCTCACTCAGTATAGACATTGTGTGTATGTGCATGCATGCACGCACATGTGTGTTATAGATGGTCCCAAAATTCGGATCCCTTGATGCTGTCACTCCTGCTTGGCAAATATGAGTTCTGGCCAGTGGTGAGGTAAATTCAGGCTCTGCCCAGTGTCCCTGACATTTAATCCCTCTGAGCACAGTGACTGCAAACAGCTGTTTGTCCCAGCGACAAGTGATTTTTTAAACAGTTTATATTTTTAAGTTGCACACATTTATGGGATATAGTTTGAAAATCAGATGTAAATACAAAATGTGTGCTGATAAAATCAGAGCAGTGTGTCCACCTCCTTAAATAGTTATCATGTCCAGAAGTCCAAAGTCCCTGTAAACTCCTTATGAAAAATGCAATATCCCTGGAGTCGATGGCATTACCAGACCCCTCTCTCTCCCGTCTCCCTTCTCTCCAGAGTCTCTTCCCTACTCTCTGTTCCTGTGAGGCCAGTGTTTTTAGCACACACATGAGCGACAATACATGGTATTTGTGTCCTTTGGTTTCCTCCATTTGGTACAAATACCAGGATGTCTTTTTATGACCAAATAATATTCTATTGGCATAGTCATTCATCTGCCAATGGCCATCCTTGTTGCTTCCACATTTGTCTCTGGGGAATGGTGTGGCAGTAGCCGTAAAGATCCGGCATCTCATAGCCAGTTTCCTTTGATTGCCTTATTTATTGCTTGCCCAGTTACTGTGACAGAATACATAGCGAACGTGAGTTAGTGTTGGGCTGATGATAGCTCCGGTCCATTGTGATAGGGAAGGCGTGATGGAGCATGAGGCATCTGGGCACATCGTGGCCACAGCCAGGATCAGGGATGATCGGTGCTTACTCTCCAGCCTAGGGAATGGTGTCGCCCACATTCAGGGAGGCTCTTCCGCCTCAGTTAAACCTCTGGATATAAATGTCCTTACGGTTTGTCTCACCACCAGTCTGATGATCCAGAGTAACTGTCACATGCTTACATAGCAGTGACAAAGCTGGACGGTTCACTAGACTTTATAAAGAGGCAGGACCTGCAGGTGTGGATGCCATGGTGACCTGCAGGTGTGAATGGTAATGGTGAACCTGCAGGTGTGGATGCCATGGTGGATCTGCAGGTGTGGATGGTAATGGTGAACCTGCAGGTGTGGATGCCATGGTGGATCTGCAGGTGTGGATGCCATGGTGGATCTGCAGGTGTGTGTACCATGGTGACCCACAGGCGTGTGTACCATGGTGACCCTCAGGTGTGTGTGCCATGGTGACCCGCAGGTGTGTGTGCCATGGTGACCTGCAGGTGTGTGTGCCATGGTGACCCGCATATTTTTACATGCCCGTATTTATGTCTGCTCCCCTCCTTCCTGGAAATCAAACCAACGTCCTCTGCAATGACTGCTGAGTTATCTCTCCGGCCCCGACAACTGTTATCTTACTGACTTATTTGTTAGTTTTCTACAGAATCTTTGTCTGATTTTGAAAGCCTAATTACAGGTCTGCACTACACATGTATTTTGAATCAGCCCAGCACCAAGCTTGGAGATTTAGACACAGTAGCTTCCAATTAGTTCATTGCTGTTTAAGGGGACTGCATAGTTTGTCATAGGGTAGCCACTTGATTGACGTTAGCACCTTCCTTTGTAGCCTTTCGTCATACATGACATGGAGACCTTGTGTATGGCTGAGAAGACGCTTGTGGCCAAGATGGTGGCCAATGGCATCCAAAATAAGGAGGCAGAAGTTCGTATCTTCCACTGCTGCCAATGTATGTCCGTGGAGACCGTCACCGAGCTCACAGAATTCGCCAAGGCCATCCCAGGCTTTGCAAACTTGGACCTGAATGACCAAGTAACCTTGTTAAAGTACGGTGTGTATGAAGCCATATTCACAATGCTGTCCTCCTTAATGAACAAAGACGGGATGCTGATAGCGTATGGCAACGGCTTCATCACGCGGGAGTTCCTGAAGAACTTGAGGAAACCATTCTGTGACATCATGGAGCCCAAGTTTGATTTTGCCATGAAGTTCAATGCCCTCGAACTGGATGACAGTGACATTTCCCTTTTTGTGGCTGCTATAATTTGCTGCGGAGGTAAGTTGATATGCCACTGTTGACTACTTACAGGCTTCCCTCTGGAGGAACTCAACGGTTGTAGATACAGTGCCAGCCTGGGCTCTGATACAGTGAAGTGGGAACTGGCAGGGTGGGATGGTGTCTGAGCCCGAGTTACTGCCAAGCAGAATTGAGAATATATCTACTATATGTTGCGGTTGCGTTACTATAGTATTTATTAATGCATATTGGCATATTATATGCCTAAATTAAATATATGCTCTATGGATAATACAATTATATCAAATATAAGTGTCTTAGATATACATAATATACAGTGATAATTTGTACTATTAATATTATAATTATTGTAGTAGATAATAGTCTGGAAAGTACAGGTCTGGGGTAGGTACAGTGCTGTTAATACTGATGTTAATTCATGCTAACCGGAAGCAGCTGCAAGGTCTGCTTTGCCAGAAGGAACAGTCCCAGGGAAGGAGGATCTGGGCCTCACTGGGGAAGCTGGCCCTGTGGTCCCTGATATTTGGCACAGCACTGCGCTTCTTTAAATAGCCTTGTCTCTGGTCTAGGAAGGTCATCCACCTACTGTAAGCCCAGTTGACCTTGCCTGGCCTTGGCATAGAGCTGCGGGTGACCATTCTTCCCAACTGCCAGAAGCCATCCTGCCCTTCCCAGTCACTGTCTGGCAGGTGATTAGTTGGATTGAAGGTGCATCATTACTCTCATAAAGCACAAAATCACCACAGATCTGTAGCATTTGTCAGGGTCCTTTGTGTGATTGCGTGTGGATGGGGGAGGGCGGCAAGGCCATGCAGAGTTGCACATACACAGTCTTTCATGGCTGCAGTCCTGCACCTGCCCTGTGGCTATGGGAACTGTCCCATATGGAAAATAGTAAACTTGCTGTGGTGAAGTTAAAACTATAAAGAGTGGATCATTCCACCATTGGAAAATGTAACCATGGGGTTGGGAAGATGGCTCAGTCAATAAAGTGCTTGCCACACAAGCATGAGGACCTGAGTTTGAACCCAGAACCCACATTTTAAAAAAGCTGGATGTAATCTTGTAATCCCAGTGCTGTGGAGGCAGGGACACCTAAGTCCATGGGGCTGACTGGACAGCCAGATTAGCCTACTTGGTGAAGAGCTCCAGGCCAGTGAGAGACCTGTCTCAAAAAACAACAAGCAATTTCATCAATACGTACGTACACAAAATACAAATATGTATGTACACTAAAACCTTAGTTATTTATATTTATTTTACTACTAAACCAATGAAGATTAAAACTCATATCAGGGGCAGGAGAGATGGCTCATCGGTTACAAGTATGTGCTATTCTTGTAGAGAACCCGAGTTCAGGTCCCAGAATCCATGTCAGACAGCTCACAGTAGCCTATCACTCCAGCTCCAGGGGATCCAACGCCCACTTCAGGTCTTCCAGAGAGCTGTACGCATGGGCGTCCCCCACCCTCCCAACACACACATACACATAATTAAAATAAGTATATAAAAATAAACCCACTTTAAAAAAAAGATAAATTTGTTAAAGGATATATTTTAAATTTCAATCAGATTACCAAACTAAAATTGTATAGACTCTACATTTTGATTACCATGATACCTGCTTTGCTTTTAAATATTAAGATTAAATTTCTGAACTTTCTGTAAAGGAAAAACTGATACAAATGACATAATAATTGATAATATGATTTAGAGATGTCACTACCCTCTGGAAACAGGGAACAAAATAGATAAAATAAGCATATGTTATCTGTAAGATGTTCCAAACATAAATAAGGGCCAGTGAGCTGGGCTGGTGGCTAAAGCCCTTGCTGAGCGAGCCTGGCTGCTCAGTTTGTTCTCTGGAACAGCATAAAGGTAGAAAGAGAAAACCAGCTCCCAATGGCAAACATGAATTATGAAATAAATACTCCTATATTGTAAATAAAATGTCTTCTATCCCTATCCCTATCCCTATCCCTATCCCTATACATATACATATACATATACATATACATATGCCCCCAAAAAAATAAACACTCCATCGTTAGCAGCTTTTAAGACCTGGTCATGCGTGGATGAGGTTTAAAAGGCACAGCTGTCTGGATGGGCTAGGACCTGAAACTGCCCCAGGAAGGCCACCTAGTGAGAGGAGCGGTACTTCCTGCTGTGCGCTCTCCCAACTCCAGGGGCTCCTTGGCATACTGCCCAGCCATGATCCTCCCAGCCCCCATCACTTCGCAGTCTGCCCTCCACCTGGGCCTCACCGGAGGTATTGAAGCAGAGCCCGATCAGCCGCACTCCTTCGGTACTGGTGGGAAGCAGAATTCACAGCTTTACCCCAGGGAAGAATTACTTCATTTCCTACATTACACAAAGATGTGGCCTGGTTTGGGGCCTGTCAGGCCAGGTGAATCCAGAAATGGGGGCTGCACTATACGGGGGATGGAGGTGGCGCTATGTACTGGCCCTGTAAAGAGCTAGGAGCGCGAGTCATGTCTGTCCCCATCAGAGCCAGCAACGGTGGAAAAGTCTGTCTGGCCTCTGGTCAGGTTGCCATGTGAAAGTCACTCGGCGCCTTCTCCACGGGGCCACGATAAGCAGTGACACTTGGCTCCTCCACTGACCAGTGGCTCTCGGATGGTCACACAGACGTCTCTCTCTTCTTTTGAGCGTAGATCGGCCTGGCCTTCTAAACATAGGATACATTGAGAAGATGCAGGAGGGTATCGTCCACGTGCTCAAGCTCCACCTGCAGAGCAACCATCCCGATGATACCTTTCTCTTCCCGAAACTTCTTCAAAAAATGGTGGACCTTCGGCAGCTGGTCACGGAGCATGCGCAGCTCGTGCAGGTCATCAAGAAGACCGAGTCCGACGCAGCGCTGCACCCGCTACTGCAGGAGATCTACAGGGACATGTACTGATTTCTCCCGAGATGGCAGCCATGGCCACCGTCCAGGGACCTCTGAGGTCTGCAGCCCCACACAGGAGAGCAGGGATTTGCACAGACGATCACCCTCCTACCCTTGGAGATGAAGAGGGCTGAGCCTAGGTAATGCAGGCTCTTCCCACATCTTTCCTTTCTGAATTGGGCACTTCTAAGAACACCTGTTTCTCAAACGCTGGTGAGCGGAGGCGGATAGGATTCAGACAATCACAGGGAATGGCAGGCCCCAGGCTGATCTTAACCAGTCCCGCGCTAATCAACGCACATTTTTCTACATCACGTTTATAATTTGCCCCTATAATTAATGTGTAACCTCAAAGTCTGAGTGTTTTCGTCTCTGCTCACCGACCTTCTGGCTGTTTGTGCCGTTGTAAATCCTGAAAACTAATCTGCACTTTTTAACCAATGTCTGATACACAAAGGCAGGATGAACCCCGAGTGACAAGTTCTGCAATCCTGTTCATGTTAACCCCATAGCGTGTGGGCATGACAGCAGTTCCAGAGATGGAGTCACAGAAGATCTATAAATGCTCCTCTAGGCCCTCTCTGGCAGCTCCTTTAATATGACACTTTATGGCTTTTTTGTTTTTAAATTTGATGGGGAGATACTCCCTGGAGTGGAGAAGGCAAAGGTGACTTTACTACCCAGGCTTGGAGGGTCTGGTCACCCTGGAGAACAAGAGGCAGGGGTGTGGTGTCCTTCCCCTTCTCTCCGTACTCAATAGAAGATCTCACAACACTTGATTGGGTTTTTGTTGTTGTGTTGTTTTATTTCAGAGAATTAGATGATAAAGTCCCTTTTCTTCAGTCCCAGTGGGCAAGCAGTGCTGACTACCTTCGGGAAAAACAGTTGGCGCAGAGAATTCGCAGACCTCACGGACCTGCCAGCACCTGCCCTCCAAGAGGGTGGCTGCATATTTCCAATCAGGGTGTAGCTTTTGTGCCCCTGCCCCATCTTTAGAAAATTTTGATTCTTCTGACGTCACATTATCTGTTGTTAAAGAATGATCAAGATGGATACTGCCAGGGAGTTGGGGATGTAGCTCAGTTGGCAGAACCCTAGTGCTGCTTTCTACTGGGCATGGTGGTGCGTGCCTGTAACCTCAAAATGTTTAAGGTCACCTTCATATAAATACTTAAGTTTGATTCCAGTCTGTGCTGCATGAGACCCTGTTTTTCTTTAAAAAAAAAATTGATGCAGATAAAATATTCAAGATCAGCATTATGAAGAGAGTAGAGTATGGAAATATGGCCATGATAGTTCAAGTAGGAAAAGGGAAAATTAGGATCAAGACATGCCTTAAGATTTGCACACTTATGGCTGAGTGGTGGTTGTGCACACCTTTAATCCCCACACTCGGGAGGCGCAGGCAGGTGGACCTCTGTGGGTTTTGGGTCCAGCCTAGTAGGGCCAGCCTGGTCTACAGAGTTAGTTCAAGGACAGTCAAGGCTACACAGAGAAACCCTGTCTCAAAAAACAAAATAGAATGAGTCTTTTTCTGTCCCACCAGCCAGCTCCCAAATAATGACACAGAAACTTCTGATTAATTACAAAAGCTTGGCCTATAGCTTAGGCTTCTTCCTAACTAGCTCTTATAACTTAAATTAACCCACTTATATTAATCTATGTTCTATCACATGGCATTACCTCTCTTCCATCTTGGACCTCCTGTTTCCTCTTCATGTCTCCTGGAGTCTCTAGGGTGTTGAGATTCCTCCCCCTCTTCCTTTCTCTCCCTTTCTCTCTTCCAGCCTATACCTCTCCTGCCTAGCCATTGGCCGTTCAGCTTTTTATTACACCAATCACAGCACTACATCATCATACCGTGTACAAATATCCCACAACATCTCCCTCTCTCTTTCTTTCTCTCCTTCCTCCATGTCTTCTTTCCTCTCTTCCTTCCTCATTCTCGCTTTCCCACTTTTCCCTCCTCCCTTCCTGCCAGACAAAGGCTCCGCTGGACAGCAGTCCCTGCAGGTAGTCTGCCCAGGCTCTCAGGAATCAGTGGCAGAGCAAATCAGCTCCATGTATGATCCCAGTGAGGGTTGAGCTCATTCGGGAAGAAGCCGGCCTCTGTGGCACATGGCATACCCAGTCTTTGGTCCTTCCATCAGGCTAGAGCTGGACCTAGGTTTAAAGGGTTAAAGGTTGGATTCCAGTTCCAAGTCTCTTCAGTGCACCTGGCCCCAACCAGGGTAGACTCCTGTTCTAATGGGCCTTAGACAAATGCCACTCCAGGGTAGGTGACCTTGGAAAGAGAGTTTTGAATCATGGCTTTTTGGAGTAGCCATGCACTCTATTTGAACTTCCATAAAACTTATAAAAGTAGCCCCTTGCCGTATGCTTTCAGCATGGACCACACAGCTGACTGACAGCTCTGTGTCGGCTTGCATCAGAGCTGATGCTCAGTGGTGTTCATGAAGATGCTGTTTTCTCAGAGCCTTGTGTGACTGCCAGTGAGTTATCCCCAGTGAAACCAGGAGGGACCACAGTGACCTTGGCTTGAAAGTCACTCTGACTTTGTGCACTTTCATTAATAGGAAGGATATTCATGATGTGGCTACATAGTGATAGGATCTTTCAGGTCACCTAGTCAGATATAGCAAGGTGACGGTCACCCAAGCCTTGCCAGGTCAAATACTGTAGCACATGTAGGAACGATAATGTGGGCAACTGTGGTCTGCCAGAAGTCAGTGACATCAACCAATAGCCCAGTAAGAGATGCCACCTTGGTTCCTGGAGCTCTAGAGCAGGGGTGTGGAGCCACTTCTCGGCACTGAGGGCAAAACTCTCCTGGTGCCAGACTCCTTGGAGACCAGTAGGGACCAAGTCTCTCCTCCTCAACTCCTGTGTCCAGGAGATGTATGTGTCTCTGTGAACAAACATCTGCTGTTAAAGGGAGCTTTAAAGATGCACTTTGTGCAAAAATGGCTGTTATCTATTGAACTGAGGTCTACCTGACTTCCTCTGTGATCCTGTCTACAGGGGCCACTCCACTAGTCCCTCCCTCCATACCACCTCTTTCCAATCATCTTATAGGCCTTTCCCCAGGAGAGATTCTTGAAGCAGACCTTCAGCGAACATGGCCCCTGGGCTGCTCTACACTCAGCTTGTATCTGTCTGATCCCAAACATATCTCACCTTGAGCCTTTATCAACACACCATGACATGGGCTATGCTGGACACTCAGCAGCCTGACGCATGGTGGAAAGGGATTTTTGCCCTGCTTCAATGGCCGTGTATTTTGAAAATTTCTTGCTAAAGTTCAGCTTAAAGGTTTTTGGGTGTCCCCTGAGATTGACTAGCTTTTGGCCCAGGGCCTCCTAGAGCCAGAAAGCCCACCACCTTTGCAGAATCTCTCTTTAACCTTTGTGGCCTTTCGAGATGAAGATCCCACTAGAAAAATGTAGTCAGTCCCAGTGTCCCCACTTCACAGCCTCTGGAGGGATGAGAACAGGAACCTAAACGGATCTTCAAGTAGACACCACCAGCCTGATGGCTGGAGGGTCAGCCTGGTTTCCCGGCGGCCCACCAGGCACCACTCTGTCCCCAGTCCCGCTTGTATGGCTGACACCCGTGAACAGAATAGGGTAAGAATATCAGAGCAACAGTCTGACTCAGAACAGAGATGGCCTTCGTCTTTCTTTGAAAACACAACACACACTAAGACTGCATTAAGACAGGTTTGGATTTAAATTACTAGATCATGTGCCTCACTGAGCCTCCTCTGAGGAATGTATTGGCATCTCTGGTTTTTCCTCAGTGGAGTGGGATATTCAGGCCCCTTGTCAGGACAGAGTGGGAGAGGCCTGTCACCAGTCTGGGATCCCGAGGACATTTTTTTCAGCATCAGACCCCAGCCAACAGCTGTCGCATCCATGTCTCAGAATCTCAGAGACATGAGAAGCAGAGCTTGTTGCTTTGCTCCCTCAAGAGAACTCCTTTTGTCAGGGAGAGTGGTTGCATAGTGAGGCGCACCTTTTGGGGAGTCCTGTGCCAACCAGAACTGTGATCAAACTGTATCTGTGGTCACTGTCATGTCTTGACCATGCAGCTGACAGCACCCGACACCTCAGTGGCTGCCAGGTGCCATTGTTGGCAAAGAAAAACGAGAAATATCAAGTTTTATGTCATAGACAGCAACCAAGCTGTTTCATTTTCTTTTTATTTAAAAGTTTGCCAGTTGAGGTCAAATATAAAAACTCTGGAATTATCTGTGGGGAGAGGATATAATAGTCTCCTCTTCACATCTCTTTCCCCCTTGTCCAGCTTCGAATTCATTTATTCAGTGAAACATGCTTCACCCCTGGGGCACAGGTCACCCCTACAGCGGTGAGGTCAGAGCAGAGGCTCCCTGGCCGGCCTGCAGGGGGCACTTGGGCATCTTTCCCAGACCCCTGGGACTCAGTATGTGTCAAGTCATATAGAGTCTGGATTCAGGCCCTGAAGCCCAGCAAGTGGCTGATCTTTTCCTGGTAAAGTTGTCACTGGGGGAAATTTCACTTTTAAAAAAAAAGGCACAGCCAGCTCTTTTGTCAGGCCTGAAACCAAGTGTACCTCACAACAGATGACTGCCACTTGGCACCTTTCTAGGAAGATGTCAGTATTAGCCATGTTTTCTGCACTGAATGAAAAAGAATTATCTTCATAGCTATATCTTAAATACTGTGATTTCTGTTTTTTGTTTTTTAAATGCTCTGATACAAGCAGTTGACTAGCTTGTGATTGTGTGTCTAATTGCCAACACCTGGAATCTTCTAAGTCAGGGTTCAGTGCGGTGTATGTTCAAAGCCTGGCCCTTGAACCTGCTGGACACAGGAAGCCCAAATACACAACAGCACCACTGCCCGTGAGCGCATGCCCCACACCCAAGCTGTGCACTTTCTTTCCACTGTAGGAATCTGTTCCTTTAGTCATTGCTTTTTTTTTTCTTTTTTTTCCCCCTTGCAACAAGTGCAAGCCAATCTGTTTGTATCCATCTCTGCCAGCCAGGCCTTCCTGAACCCTGACTGGAAGTCACCAACCTTACTCCGGTGTTGCTATCAAGGCCACTGAGTAGGCTTGTAGGGTCAACAGATGCCCGCTATTCAGGGAATTGTTACCTATAAATTACCAAAGAACTGTGGTGATCTGAGTTGTTCCACTATGTCTCCATGTCATTTCCAGTTTCCTGGCTACATTGCTCCTTGGTGTGTCTCCAAGACCCACAATGCCATCACACTAGAACCCAAGGGGAGGGGTCTGACAGACACACACAAGGACATGCTCATTTCCAAAGCAAGGTCTGAGCCCAGCTTTCTGCAACCTGCTCACTGCTGTCCATGTGCCATTCCCTCAGACCTGGGGGCCTGCAGCCCTTCTTCACTTCTGTGGTAAGCACGGTCCTGAACAGGGATTGTTGAGCCAGTGCCAGCATCCTCTCCCACCTCCCAGCTCTTCATGGATACAGGGCTACCCAGGACATCAGGAATCCAGGGTGAACACAGAAGCACAAATATAATTTACTAGTCACATGAACTGACTGGTTCCAGGCAATTAGAAAATGGCTGTAACTTAACCTTAATTAAAAAAAATATTGAGTCTTCTCCATTTTCTCCATAGGAGATTGAACTGACTGTATGCATTGATTTATATCCTGAATTTATGGGAACCTGTATGTTTGGAATGTCCTACTGTAAGACTGATGAATGTAAAGAGTTAATTTCAGGGTACAGTTTTGCCTTAATGGTTTTAAAAAAATAAACTATTTTTAAAACTTGGTTGGTTTGTTTTGAGTGATGCTGGGACATGGCTGGTTTGCACAGACTGAGCCCCACAGATTGGCCCCGATGGGATGCACTGAGTGTCCAAGTAGGTCAGTGAAAAGGTTACTTAAACCATTAGTTTATTCTTCAGGTCTTTAATTATAAACATGGTACAAGGTCAAGGTTTAAATCATTTCCCAGACATGTGACACAGAATGTGACATAACCTTTGAATACCGTTGGAGGCTGATTTCCCTACAGACAGATGACATCATGTTACTTGGAAGTCCTGAGAGAAGCCGGGTGTCTCCCACAGGTACATCTACCGGGAGTGTCTACCAACTGTCCACTGAAGGAGGCTCCTTTTCCCTCATTCCTGGCCTCCAGTAGAGGCCAGTCCTGGAGCTGCAGCTGGATCCACTCCCGCTGTCTTGTCCGCCTCCTCGGTTCCCAGGGCTCCAGGTACTCCACAGTTCAGAGAAGGCCAGATACACAGCTCCCAGTGGAAAACCCTGGCTGAACCAGCCCAGCGCTGCACAGGAGGAGGCTGTGTGCATGGCAGTCAGGGATGGTTGGAAGGTCTCTTGGAGGCACCTTTTCTCTTCTCCACATCCTGCCTGATTTCCTGAGGGAAAGCACTGATATTCTCCTGAACACAGGGGAGGCAGACCCTCTTGGAGTAGAACAAGCTGCAATCCTATGAGAGGGAAGAGGGCTAGAACATGGAGGGTGGGGGCAACACAGCACTGCTCCTCCCAGGCAAGCCCCCCTCCCCCACACCACATAAGACACAGGGAGAGGCAGCCACCTGAGCAACAAAGGGATGCACCAAGGGCTGGCAGACTGGCCATCCTGCTTGAAGTTCTGAGGAACAATCCATTGCACTGGAGACCATCTTACTAACAATGTATTGTTTAATCCAAGAAAGGGGAAGATGCCTGACATTCTTGGGGGCAACTCCCACTTCTGCTTCCCAAATACAGCCCAAATCCAAGCAGTGAGCACTTGAGGCTCCTCAGAGGCTGGATCCCAGCCCACTTTTCCAGTCTGTTGACCTCAAACACTCCCTCCATAGTCTTCCTGCCAAGTCATGGGACCTGAGGCTCCTGCCACCATCCCCTACATCAACCAGACAGCCTACAGAGGGGACAGTTGTCAGGTATGACCTGTGGCAAGGCCCCTTGTGTGTGCTGAACCTGCAGCAGGTGCCAAGGGGTTCTCAGACCTTATGACGACTGCAAGGCCCAACCTCAGGCTGAGACACTCTACCTGCCCTCACTGGCCCTTTCCCTTTGCCCTTGTGTCCCCAGGGCTAGGCTAGCTATCATCTAAGAACCCTCACCCTCTCTCCACCTGGTGATCAGGAGGTCCCCACATCTGTGGGGGCAAAAACAGTAAGTCTCCAGGTGTACCTACCGGGTCCACACACACCAGCCTGCCACACACACTGCACCGCGAGCCGAGGACCAGAAACCTTGCCTTGTCTGAGGAGAAGGGATCCTTCATGATGTAGCTCTCCTCCAGGAGGCTGCAGGGAGAAGGGACACTCCTCTGTGAGCCACGCAGGGCTGCACAGCAGCACCAGAAGCCTCCGCAGGCAGGAACTAGTCAACCTGAGCAGTAGGGTAGTGGCAGAAAGGCTGGCAGCTGGGGGACAGGTGGGAATGGAAACGGGACCTAGCTCCAGTTCCACAAGGTGCAGTGGAAGCCTCCCAGAGCACGCCAGAGCAAGTAGGATTCACTAGGTGGGTTCATGAGGTCAACACGGGGCACGCTCTACTCCATCCCACATACATCAGCATGAGAGCAACTGAGTGGCATGATCCTCCACGGACACAAGGGAATTGAGCCTGGTCCCCTGTTGCTTTGTCACGAGTCCAGAATGAGCCAGCTTTCTCACATGATGTGTTGGATGAAGGACGAGCCCAATCCAACAAACAAGCTTAGAACTATCTCTACTCCCAACCTGCATGAAGCAGACCTTCAGGAAGGTGGTCCTTAGGAACCACTAGGCACCCGCCCAGCCCAGAATACCACCAGCAGGGACAGCGCAGGGCACAGACCCACATGAAAAAAGGCACCATGCTCCTCCATCGCTGTTTAGCCCGGGGCCACAAGGCTTCCATCTCATAGAGCAAGTGTCTAATTGTCAGCTGCACCTACAGGGAGGGCAGGGAATCCTGGCAGAGTTTTTTTTTTTTTAAAAAAAAAAAAAAAAAAGCTTTCCAGCCTTGCCTGGGGCTTCCTCAGGCTATGCCTAGAGCATCCAGAGCAAGGGCAAGGACTGACCAACAACACCCACGCCAAGTACACTCTCCACATAGCACCCTCCGAGCAATGCTGGACAGAGCCTCTTGAGCACTGACCCAGAGCGCATACTCACACAACAGCCTGGGTATCTGGGGGCTTCTGCCCCACGTAGCTGTAAGGAGCTGTCAAGGCACAGAGCTGGCACTCAAACATGCCCAGGGGGCGGGGCTCTGCCTCGGATGCCATCTTCTGTAAGACCAAGAGGTAGGGTCATCACCATCGGAACCGAGAACCAGCACCCTTCAAATCCACTCTACCTGCTTGCTGTTCATATTCTCCTCCACAAGATGCAAGCCTCCTTGACAAACAAGCTCAAACTCAGAGCAAGTAATATCTATTCAATGCCACCCAGGATTGCCAAGTGTGTAAGATGAACTGAGCCTAGCTTTGGCTACAAAACAAAGTGAAACCAGAGAATCTGGTTTTCATCCCCACATGCTTCAACTAGATAATTTACTTTGTATTTATGTTTGTTTACTTGGGGAGAGGATTGTGCATCCATGGAATTCATGAAGAGTTCGGAGGACAACTTTCAGAAATTCTCTCCTTCTACAGTATAGGTCCTGGGGATTGATACAGGGTCATCAGCCTTGGCAGCAAATGACTTTAACCTCTGAACCATCTCACCAGCCATAATTTTTTAATTTTATTTTTGTTGCTTGGCTGATTTTGCATCGGTATACATGTATATATTAGTCAAGGTTCTCTAGAGTCACAAAACATGGGATGACTTTCTTGTGTGTGTGTAAGTGTATGTATGTGTGTGTATACAGCAATTTATTGGGCTGTCTTACAGGCTGTAGTTCAATAATGGTTAGCTGTGAATGGAAAGTTCAAGAATATAGCACTTGCTCAGTCCCATGAGGCTAGGTGTCTCAGGTGGTCTTCTGTATGTTCTAGAATCATAAAGTAGGTTCCAATCCAGTGAAGGAATGGATGTGCTGACAAGGTGAGGGCAGGCAGGTGAAGAATGAACAAACCCTTCCTTCGTCCACTGTCCTTACAAAGGCTCCCCAGCAGAGGGTGTGGCCCAGATTAAAGCCAGCCTCAAGATCTGGACCAAAGGCATGTTGTCTTCTTGCCTCAAGATCCGGATCACAAGTGTGCCCTCCATTTCTGGATTGTAGTTCAATCTAGATACAGTCAGTCTGACAACCAGGACTAGCCATCACAATGGGTCACAGAACCAACGTGGAGTCAGTTCTTACCTTTCACCATGTGGGATCTGGAGATCAGTTTCAGGTCAGGCTTGGAAGCAAGGCACCTTTATCTGCCGAGCCATCTCACCAGCCCCAATACGGATAATTTCTATAGACTTCCTTCAAGTTCACTGGCTTTATTCATGTCAACGGATAGGCCCCTTAAGTTATTCTTCCTCTCTTCCTATCTACTGTTCTTTTTCCCCGGACCAACTCCTCCTCTGCTGAAATCTCCATCTGTGTATGTATGTTATGTGTCTTTTCCACTGGCATGTTTAACATGTTAACCATGCTTGTTTTAAACCTCCCATCTGATAGTTGTAACATCTGAGCCATGTCTGGTTCTGCACCTATTTGAGTATCTTGTTCTTTGGCAGCAAGGCTGTCTCCTTGCTCTTTCTTGTGTCTCAGTCTGGGTTATGAGCCTGATTTGTCTATAAAATGGTAGAGGTAAAAACAGTATTTAGGACCCAGAGTGGGCATGTATGTCAGGCCTGTACTGTTTGATGCTGAATCAATCCAGTAAGAGGTTTGGCTTTCCTGGTTGTTCTTCTGTACTGGCTTCGAATTCCTCTAGCATTACTTGTGCTTAGGTGTGAGATTTATTGGCCTCTCAGATACTATTTAAGGACAGATTCATGTGCCTCTTGCGCCTTCCCTTCACTGGATGCAAGAATCTTCACTTGCTATTTGGATGGCACTCCTATACTCAGGTGTATCTAAGGTCTTGAAGGACCTGCCTCCTTGTAGGTTGCTGGCTAAGTGGTTCACTGGCAAATAGGGTTTGATGAGTTCAAGAAAACGCGATTCACAGATTTTACAGCGCTGTATAGGAATTCCTACCTCGCCTTTCAAAGTTCCCACACAACCAATCAGCAGCCCCCAGCCCCAACTGTGCCCTCCTCTAACCCTCCGGGTCCTGCACATTTAGAGCCAGAAGGCACAAGCCTTGGAAACTGGCAGGGGTTCCAAATGATGTCTAAAAATGAAAATCCTATTTTGGGTGTGCGCGAACCTAACTAGCTCTGCTTGGTATCTCAACTCGCACGTCGCAGGCCCGCTGCTGGGCACGTTGCCCTCGTAGCAGGTGACAGTCAGGGGACAGTCCCAGGATAGCAAGACTGGGCAGAACCTCCACCTCCCGCTCAATCTCCCGGGTCACAGGGCTCCGCCTGGCGACCAAAGACACCTACTAGCCACCCGCGCGCAGCCCTCCCCGCGCCCTCAGCGGGGTGTTAGGCCCAACGCCTCCCTCTCAGCTTCCAGAAGCGCCGAGGCTAGACCTAGCGAGCCCGGCCGTGAAGAAATAACGGCACAGCTCACCACGCGCGTCCCCGCGACACACGACCGCGCGCACTCACCACCTCCCCGCCGAAAGTCCAACGGCGCCTGCGTGACCCGCCCACGCCCCTAGCTCCGCCTCATGGCGCCTGCGCGGCCCCGCCCCAGATCCGCCGAGGCTCCGCCCTCACCCCGTACAGTCCGTGCTGTCCCGCCGGGAGGAGGAAGTGTGAGCCTACTGAGCCCCTAGGCCAGGGCTCACCTCAAGGCGATTCCACCCAGTCCCCGCCTCCGAACGCAATTTTAGTCTGTGGGGTGTCCTTGTCGGGGTAGACCTTCACCGGCCGCTTCCCGATTCCGTTTCCGCTGGCGACGTCTAGAGGTTGTGGATCTCTACCTGAGCTCTGTCTGGGCTTCTTCAGGACAAAGCGTACTGATGGCCGACAAAAACAAAACCAATTCTTCTTAAATTTTGCTTGGTGAACCAGTGAATGTATTGGGATTATTTCCAGAGCTAAGAATGACTGAAGTAATTGCAACATTGAAAAGCCTACCCTATGGGGTTAATGACTTGTCTGCACGACTTGAAGGCAGTTCCCTCTGTCTCTCGCAACAATTGCTAACTGCTTTAGTAACTTTGGGGAGGGGCTTTGTGGATAGTCTTTTTTTGTTTGATTGGTTTGGTTTTGGTTTTTTGAGACAGGGTTTCTCTGTGTAACCGAACCCTGGCTGTCCTGGAATTCGCTTTCTAGACAAGACTGGCCTCGAAATCACAGAGATCTTCCTGCCTCTGCCTCTCAAGTGCTGGGGTTAAAAGCATGTGCCACCACGTCTGTCGTGGATAGTCTTGAATTAAAAGTTTGGTGAACTTTCTGATTCTGGTCCATCCTCCTCTGCCTCCAGGAGAGAATGTTTCCATCTACAGGAAAGGGAACACTATATAACAAACACTTGGCTTCTTTCTATGGCCCGTATTTCTGCACCTCTTGGATAATGTTCCCTGAACCTTGGAAAGGGTTACATAGAACTCTAATTGCTTTCTTTCACTTATGGTTGGGCATTGATCCTCTATGCTATAGGAACAGGTATTTATTTACAGCTGTTTGGCTGGTTTTGAGTCTCATTAACTACCACTGACTGCAGAAAGAAGAGCAGCAGTAACCTGTGGGTAAGAAACACACGTGTTTTAGGGGCATGTCTGTTCATTTAGCAAAACGATAGTACTCTCCCCACCAGAGCCTATGACCTCCAGCCACAAGTTTTTGCCAGTTTTATAGTTCCAAACATGGGTTCCTTCCTGGGGAGCCTTAAATTCAATCAGAAGGTGTTGTCTACATTCACACCAGTTTGCCATTATTGTACCAGCAGACACCTCTTGCCTGGCGTGGTCGTGTAATGAAATCCATAAGCCAAACAGGACTATTGACAATAATTCTCCCTCTGCAGTGTGGGCTCCTCAGTTTTGGCCTAATGTGCTCCATGTCCTGTAATATATATGTTTTCACCTAATTTAGCCATGCAACCAACATTAGTGGAAATTGCCTTTCTGGTTTCTTGGATTTAAAGGGTTTTGTTGGTTAGCAACTTGTAGGGACATAACCTGCCCTTGGCTGTGTGGGACTTTCTTTCAATAACCCTACAGCTTCTGGGGATGGTTTTCTAACCATGCAATGTCCTTTCTTAACTGTTGCTGTACTGTTCTTCCAGATGTATCTCCAAGACACCTGATGGCCAGCACTATGGCATATATGTAATAAAACCCTCTCACAAAAGATAGGCAGAATCACTGAGCGCCTGCCATTCCAAGCAAGTGCCAGTTGAGTTTGAGATTAAGCAGCAGAAGGGATTCTGTAACAAAGCCATTAGCAATGTACAGTACAACACAAAACAACTGAGCTGTTGAGTGCTCAGCCCTAAATGGGACATTTATAACACTCCCGCCACCAGCAAGACTCAGGGAGCATCTCAGAAGAGGGGCCAGAAAGAACTTAAGAGCAGAGGGATAGTGGGGGAAGGCATTATGAAATGCTGTCTTTTGGACATGGCGTGGCCATTGGCCTCATGAGTTCACAGCAACCAAGTTTACCTGTACAAGTCTACATAATAAGACCAAGCCAGTTAACATTCCAGCGTGGATCGGGGAGGGACTCCTGTGGCTCCACCCTGTCTCGGGAGTTATTGGCAACTGGTGGCTACTGGGGAAAGAGGTGTCATGGTCCTAAACCCATCCAGAGTAGGCAGGGCTTAGGATGAGGATGATGATGGCGGTGGTGGCACGAAGGTGGGAAGAGGAAGTCTTGGGGGCGTACAGAAGGCATGGTAGGAGTGGGTAGATTCCAGGTATATTATATACTTCCATGAATTTTAAAATAAAGCTGAATATGGTGATACACACCTTTAATCCCAGCACTGGGGGAGCTGAGATATTATTTATTTATTTGGTCTTTCTTTCTTTCTTTCTTTCTTTCTTTCTTTCTTTTTTTAATTTGGTTTTTCAAGACAGCTTTGGAGCCTGCCCTGGAACTAGCTCTTGTAGACCAGACTGGTCTCATTTTCATAGAGCCTCACCTGCCTCTGCCTCCCAAGTGCTGGGATTAAAGGCATGTGCCATGGCCACCAGGCAGAGGCAGGCAGATCTAAATAGTGAGTTCCAGGACAGTCAGAATTATGTAGTTAGCTCCTGTCTCAAAAAAAAAAAAAGTATAGAGTGTCATACAGGTGAGTCTTCAAAGTCGCAGGACTCTGCTGTGAGTCTAGTGCAGCCGTAGCCTCGCTTGTGTGTTTCCTTTTCTGCCCTCAATTCAAAGGCAGCCACAGATATGCCTTGATCCCTTACACAGAAATCACTGCACGGGTCACAGAAGAACTCTCAAGTTTAATTCACATAAAACTTAAAGTGGTGTCACCATAAAGGCACATGCCTCTGGGTAACAATATAATAGTTGTTAGCCCTTGTTCTTCGTGAACAGTAAAACGCATTCCCTTCCTCCTAAATCATCCACCCAGTCATAAATGTACCTGGATGCCCAAGTCATTGGACACATATTGTTATATCCAGAACAGGTACCATATCTCCACATGGACCTTTGTGCACCTTTGTTGGCAACAGCTGTATCTCTTGGTCAGGGACTGTTACCAAGTGCACTAGAAATGCTTATTCTGATGGGATTACGTGGGAAGTTTCAGATCCCTGTCCCCTGCTCTGATCTCTGCAGCCTCAAACTCTAAAGCCAGGCCTGGAACTCCCCGCACAGGACCCCTCTAACCCGGGCCTGCAGAAAGGCTGGAGAAGAGAGGCTTCTCAGGCATGGTCTGCAAGGGAGTCTCCCAGGGAGACTGGCCAGTTTGCTTCTGCTTAGAGGCTGCTAGCCTGAGGCTAAATCCACGATGGGACCTGGCCAGCTCTTTCCCTTGAGGTTGGATCTCAAAATCAGTGGCTGTCACTCCTCCATACTGCTGCAGGCTCCCACAAAAGGAGTCCCTGAATCCCATCCAGAGGGAATCCACCTTGACATCCTCTTTTCTCCCCCAATATTCCCCTCTGCTCATAAGTTCTTATTCCCAAGAGCAGGGCCCAGAGTGGGGATACTCCAGGTGTGGATATGTGCATGACCGAGCCATCAGACATTCTTTGGTCCCCTTGACAAACACCTAATGTTTAGGGGCATTCTTGCTTGTGGCCCTTCCAATCCTCACCAGTCAGACAACAAGGTAAACCATTTTCTTCCCATTGATGTTTCTGGTCTTTAGCCCCAGGAACCGCCGATTGTTTTTCTCTGGCTGCCCATACATCATGTCAACGAAGAATTCGGATTGGTCTTTGTCCCTAGATCGGGAGGTGAGAAAGTCAAACCCAGATCTTAGATTATCACACAGGTAGGTGATTGCCTCTGCCTCATCTGATGGCTCCTCATACACAGGCTGCTTCATCTCGTCATAGGCAGACAGAATCACCGCCTGAAACAAGTTGATGAAGATGCAGATCATCACCAGCATAAAAGATGATAGAAACAGGACCCCAAGAACCTTGTTGCTGGAAAATTCTGTGTTCTGAAAGGCTGACACGCAGTAGGAGAAGATGGTTTGGGTGGCGTGAATGATGTTGCTGTAATTCCATTCATGCTGACCGAACACCAGGTACCCGAAAGCTACGTACATGAAGGAATACATAGATACCACCAAGGCCATGTGGCAGATGCCAGGAAGGGCGGCCTGAATGGCCTTCTGAGCCAGGCGCACGTCATAGAAGAATCTGGAATACCTGAGTGTCTTCAGTATGGTCAGAAATAACAAGAAAGCCAAGATGATCCTCATGGAATGATCCAGCTGAGAAACGGCATGGAAGGGGATGAAGCCTCCAGGGTGAGTCAGGTAAAGCTGGACCATGCTGGTGGCCAGGAGGTGCTTCTGGAAGAAGAGGACTATCAGCAGGGTGAACATGCACTTCAGAGACAAGTTGAGCAGGTTGTACACACTCCTCAAGTAGGAAGCTCTTTCTTGCATGATGACGTAGCCCTCGTCCACAACATAGGCACAAAAGAAAATGAGGATGGCTGCATACAGGTAGATCTCTGCCGAAGTCTCTCTGTTGAAATCAGACAGCGAGAAGGAGTACACCGAGAGGCTGGAGTTGACCACCCCTAAAGGAGAGACTTCGAACACAACTGAAATGCTACACAGCAGACTGGCGTCTGGATTCAGGGTGGTCAGTTCCACAATCACAGCCCATGTCATCCCATCAAGCCAATTCTTAACCTCAAGTTCCTTGAGCCTCAGTGTGGAATTAGAGATCTGCTCTTCTGGAAAGAAATAGAAGGCATACCCTCCAGATCCATAGGTGTTTAACACTCCATAGGAATGAT